AGTATTTCTGTAAATATAGAAACTATAATTACTAGAAATGTAGAACTGAGGTGGCTCAATATGTATATAAAAGAGAAAAAAAGAGTCATGGTTAAATAAGTGATTTATAAAGACAAAACAAGATTATTAGAACTTAGAAAAAGGTGATGTTCAAAAACATCATACAATCTAAAATACTGTGTTAAATATTTAAAATCACCACCAATTGCCAATTTATCATGGGCCATGATTACATATATAAAATGATTCCTTCTTTGGTGAGAAAAACATTTTCAGTCATTTGCTTAGCTCTTTTTACTGCTTACTCTTTACAGATAACTATGCTAGGTGCTAGGTAAGATAATAAAATGTTTATAACATTCTACTGTTTTGCAAAATAATATTTGCACATATCATTTTATATGTTTATGCACAGAACCTTTTTTTCTTCTTTTTAGTGTCATCATTATTATTAATTTTACAGGTAAAGAAAATTTCTTAGCTGGCTTATGGACTTTCTCAAGGTCAGCCTAAATATATATAAATGTTACAAGCCTAATTATATAAACATTATATGTTTATGTCCTTGATAAAATTACAAACTAGAACTTAGAGCATGAAGAGAAAATATAGAATTCTAAAGCATTAGTGATCTCGTTAAAATTTCGATTTGGCTATGAGACAAAAGACCAAACTTACATGTCAGAATCCTCTGCCACAATTCCTAAATGAAGAGCAAGATCAGCAACATCATGGTTGACTGCAAATAATCATGCAATATGTAAGTGTCTTTGATGTTACCAAAGTTACAATGAGACCTCCCTGTGGATGTGTAAATATATAGGAGTATAAAAACAAATGTCTCCTCCATTGAGAATTGAAGCATTTTACAGATAACTAAGACTGCTGTGGCCAGGACTTTTAGAGTTTTTCTCCATGTGAAATTCTGTCACTTTATTTCAGTCACCTATAATTTTTTATTAAGCTAACATATCTCTGTTGCAAGTCAGCATGGCTTGTCTAGCAGCTGTCACTTTGCAGCAATCAATGACCATGTTTTATTGCTTTAGGTTGTATTTCTTTGTAATACATTATCTCTAAATTCAACCTTCAGAAAAAATCTTTTAAGTCTCTTGACAGAATATTATGTTATTAAAATTAACTGAGAAATAGCAAAATAAAATCCAAAACTGCCCATATCAGGAAAATATGGGATTATATGGCAAAAGTGAATTAAATGTCAATGAATAACAGTGATAGAAGAGATACATTATTATAATAGATGAGATTTATTTTGTCAATAAATTTATATGATCATATAATTTATATATATATTTCCCAAAATAATGTTCAATACAAGTTTGGATAACACTCATTAAAATATTTAAATGTTCAACTGATTTCTCTTATTAATAGAAGAACATAAATAGTATACCAGTATTGTGTATGTGTGTGTGTGTGTGTGTGTGTGTGTGTGTGTGTATTATATATATTAAAGATGGGCTAGTAATTTTTTAGAGATGTTGGTTCCTCAATTTGGAATTGCCAGGTATCTACACTATGATGAGTTCGCTTAATGAGGTTCAGAGCTCCATCATCAGTTTTGCAAGATCAGAAATTCGGTTTCATTTGTGACAGCGTTAGTGAAGTTCTTAGGCATTAACGTGCATATACACAAATTTATACATATATTTATGGCTATATCTATGTCTATGTTCTCTCTGTCTTTATTTCTTTCTAGATTTCTATCTATAAGTCATAAAATCAAATTTTAGTTTATTGAAGATGTTTAAATTTCATAAATCAAAGATACTCATGGCAACGTAACAGGGATATGATATCAAAGTGCCTGAGTGGCCAAATCAGAAATCAAAAGATTATTTAGTAGGTATGGAAAAAGTAATAAGAGTAACATAGATTTGATAAATACTTAAATAAGGCAATGAGAAGCTTAATAAATCATTGCGTCTGTCGTATGGAACTCCTGTCTGTTTTTCAGAGTACTTATATCTCCTTTGTATACTGCTGTGGTAAACACAATGGGGTTTTGATAATAGGCTTCACTTCCTAGATTTCACAAAGAAAAATTATATAAAAACAATTTTTTTCTGAGTCACTTTTGGGTTCTTTTTTTCCGCATGAGTCAGCCATCAGAAATACCTCCCTAAGATGTTTGTTCCCCATATTTCTTGATTTTTCTCTACTACATGTTTATGTTTATATTTTCAGCATTATGCCTTAATATGTTGTAGTTCTATATTCCAGTATCCTTTTTTTTCCCATTTCCATTTTTCTAGTCAACAAGTGTAAATTATACCAGATTAACCAGGTTATATTTGGAATTCAGATGCCTTAGAGATATTATGTTTATATTCATCATTATTTTACATGTTAGCTCTGAAATGAAAAGATAGAAATAACATGGAGTAAATTTACATTATGGGATGTCAAAAAAAAAGCAACATCAATGACATTCTTTCATAGATAGCATTGTGTGAGGTACTGAGCATTGACTGAGCTTTTTGCCCTAATATTTGCAATATGACTTTGGAGCACCTCCTATAAAATAAATGAATTCTATTTCCCATGCTTTTGAATTTGAACTTACCTGTGGCTTGCTTTGCAAAAATGACATTGTGCTAATTCTTAGCCTAAGAGTAAAAAATCCATTCACTATTTTGCTCTCCTGTTTGAACACTTGCCCAGTCTCCATGTGATAAATTCTGGACTAGTCAGTTGGATCATGAAAGACTTGTGACCCAATTGCTTTCATTTTTTCAGCTGACAGCCAGCCAACCCCCAAAATACAGCTGAATGAATGAGCTTATCTGAGACCAAAAGAACTTTCCAGATGAGCACAACCAAAACTGCTAACTCATCAAATAAATGGTGGTTGTTTTAAGCCATTGAGTTTTATGTGGCTTATTATTGTCGTGAGTTAAATTTGTCCACCACCCCACCCCATTCATACGTTGACATCCTAACCCTCAGTATCTTAGAATGTGACCTTATTTGGAAAAAGAATCATTGCAGATGAATCAGTTAGGGTTAGATGAGGTCATACTGGAGTAGAGGGGCCTCAACCCAATAATCAAATGACTTGTGTCCTTATAAAAAAAGGGAAATACAGACACACACATACAAGGAGAATGTGAAGATGAATGCAGAGATCAGAGTGATTCTTCTACAAGCCAAGGAACTCCAAATGTTGGCAACACATCTCCAGAAGCTAGGGGAGAGGCATAGAAATGATTCTCTCTCAGAGTCCTCAGAAAGAACCAGACCTCCCCACACTTTGATGTTAAGCTTCTAGCCTCCAGAACTAAAGCAATAAATCTCTGTTTTTTAAGCTACTAATTTGGTGATATTTAGCAAAGGCTTGCTAATTTAAGTAGTCATGTATCAGGAAATACACAATAAGACCTTTACCTTTAAGGTGTTTGTTTATATTTCAAAATTAGATCCTATTCAGAAAATTAAAAATAGTATGAGCTATTTTATCTTGCTGGTGACAATGATTGATAATAACCATGCATTTTTCCATTATTTCATAGAGAAAGGATTGACTGGATATGCTATCCAAGTCCTCAAAGGAAGATGATGCTCTCATGCTTGTACCTTAAAGAATAGTTAGATCATCGAAAGATGGAGGAGAATTGAAGAAACGATAAAAAATAAAGGTTTAGGAGCTAAAATGCAGAGAGGTTTATGGAAGATGCATAAGCCAAACCAGCTGAGTTTAGATATGGACCGTATTATGGAATTATAAAAATGAATATATAATGTATAGGTAAGGTAAAGCCTAGTCATACCATTTGGACATTATTTATGAATACTGAACATTTATTAAAACTTTTATGCATGGGAATTTCACTCAAAAAACTTCAAGTTTTGGATAAAATGAATAGGAGTGGTACAGATTAGAGGAAGAAGGACCACTTAGAAGCTTCTCTTCATATTCTTGCTAATGACGTTCTCAGCAAAATGTTAGTAACTTATGAAAAGAGAAGGCTAAGATTAATATCCATTAAGAAAAATATATGCAAAGTTTGATAAGTGATAAATGTGTTTTAACCCTGGGCATGTAGTAGAATTTTGCCACCACTGATAAGAAGGTAAGGGGATATTTATAGTGTCTCCCGGTTTTTTTGAAAGATTTTAAATTTAAATTTTAATTATTCTGAAGTTAAAGTGTTTGCAGAATATGTGAATGCAAATATTCAGCCTTTGGTAAACATAGGCTGAAGAGGGAGGTCATAATTGATTATGCACATTTGTAAGTATTTTAATTCAACTGCCTCTGTTTCCCCAGGCAATCAAACACCAGAAGGTTAAAGATAAAAATTCTACAAAAGAGCATATTGAAATCGGTGCCACAATTTAGGTCGCCTCTGTTCACATGTTCTTGTCCAAGCGAGATAGTGTCCTGAGCAACCAGGCACATTCTCATATATTATAAACTAGTGGCCCTACTAGCATTGTTCATAGAATTCTAAATAGCTTACAATAAGTAGGTATAAGTTGTCATAACCTGCGGAATGATGCCTATAGTTGCCAATCAGAAAAAGCAGCTTTATTGTAAATCAGCATTTACCTTTGTAGTGTAGAAAATAATGAAAACAGCAATTTATTTTGCATGTCTCTCAAAGCTGAAAGTCACATATATTTTGTATTTTATCTTGATTTTACAAACTCTAAAGGATGACTTTCTTTCTTTTAAAAATACCTTCTGAAACTCTCCAAAGTTAATTTGAACATAGGATAAGCAATATGACCCTAAATTACTTTTCAAACTTAATTTAAAAAATCAGCTAGTGATATTCATATTATGCAGTAGTAAACATTCTAGCAGAATCTTAACTTTACCTCATTAGTATATCTCAAAAATGGTTTGGATCTTGCTAAATCTTCTTTTCTCAATAGTAATGAATGATGAACAAAAAGACATATAGCACAACTGGAAAAACCAGTCATCTTGTTCAAATAAACTGAGGTGTTATTTTTTTTTATTAAAATGCACATTCCAAAAGGTTGGGTTCAGTTCAAGGCAGCTCCCCTGTTCTGTTAAATAAACTTTGGGACACAGAAACACAGACTAAGGGATGTGACTGGATAGAAAGCATTACTCTATTCATTTACTTCCTAGGCAACCAAAAAAAAAAAAAAATGAAACTTGAATTCTATATAAAAATATATTCTGAAGATTCCAGTTGGAGTAATTCTGCCAGAAATAAGAGCTGAAGTTCCAAGGAAAGTAAAAATTTCCAAAGAAAGAGCAGAAAACAATATGTAGAGGGTCAGAAATAAGTATTATCAAAGAAGATAAACTGATATTTTAAAATCAGTAAGCAGATCTGAAATTATTCATATATTATAAATTTTAAGATAAAGAGATTCATATTATTAAAATTTTCTAGGGTCATAATTTTCATACATTAGAATTTAAAAGAATTTAGGTTCATGGATCAATGTTCTGACAAACATTTATTTGTGGAAAAACTTTCTCTCTCTCTCTCTCTCTCTCTGTCCCTTCCCGCCCAATATATATGTACACCAAAGTAGATATACATGTAATAATGGTACACTTTTAGGATTCTTTTTTAAATCGGAAAGCCCCAAAAGCAAACCATTGAATTAAATCCAAATTTGAATAAATAGCACATATGCATTTGTTAAACATAATGGATGTTTTCAGTTTTTAATATTTGATGTATAAAGATAAGTTTTAAAATGCTTCAGAATATTATCAACCCATGTCATTTGTTAGCACTAGTGTTGAATTCTTCATCATGATTCACGCACACTGCATGCTCTCAAAGGAAGGCATTTCAAAGCAAGTCGTTTATCCTGTACTTTTTGTATATTCCAATTTCTAATGGAAGGCAAAATTTATGGTTAATAAGCTATGAATAAAGATTTTTAATTGTAAACATTACTATTCCGAATAAAGAGGAAATAAAAATTGAACCATAGAAATCAAAACAACTATAGATTTCAGTTTAAATCAGATATATTCATCATAGTACTGTAAATAAAATGAAAAATTTTGTGATGGATATTCATGAACATGCTTTTAAAACAATTGATTTTCTCTAGAATTTATGGAAGTTTATGGAAATATAATCAAATGGTTCATCTCTCTGTTGAAAAGGCATATGCTCACAATAGTTTTCTTCCGCTGGTTTATTAAAACAAGAGTTTGGATGGAACCTTTCTCTGGTGATAAATTGGACATGTGTTGTGCCAATAGAATATGAAAAAAAAGCAAATTAGTGATCACGTGAACTATGCAATTTTGCTAGCAAATACCTAATTATGAGTACCTTTTATCTGTCCTACTCTATTTCTGACAAGTTTATATCAAATTTAGGAAGCAGCTATTACTCGTTAACATTTAAAACTACAGCAGAAGTTGTATTTTATTTTTATTGATGAGGTAAAGACAATGATAGTACTATCCTGAAAGAATATTTTTGCCTATCCAATGTTTAAATACCTAAGTGATACAGAGAAGTTTTGCTATGGCCATAATAGAGTTTGAAAAATAAACAGTTTCAGTTGAGTTCAGCTACTGATTTTTAACTAATTTTTCTTTTTAATGAGTTCAATATTTGTTTTCCTAAAAAAAAAAAAAAAAAGATTTTACAAATGTAGATGATGATCAAGATAGCAAGAATCTGTGGTTTAATATTCATGTTATTCTTACATTATTGTTTTGTATCAATATCTCATTGCCAAAGTCATGCAGACTACTGGGGTCATTAAGTTTACCATTAACAAAATTTTTTAAAAAATGTGAAAAATAGCTTCAGTTTCTATGTGGCTTTGGCAAAATAAACTGGGTAATTTGCGATATTTTGTGCCAGACACATTTTAGAGTTGGATTTACATTAATACCATTAAACTTATTTCATAAAAACGAAGAACTGATTCTCTAGCCTTCCTTTCTGTACTGTGACTTTTAGAGATGCCAAGGTAGATGCCACAACACAGAGCTGAATGTTCCTCTATTACAAGACTCTCAAATATGTGTTGAAATTTGGCTGAATTAGAAAACTAAATATGCCTACAATTAAACATCTTGAGCCCTTTTTGAACTGAGCTTTTGACATTAAATTTTGATGGCTCTGTCACATACCAATTTCTAGCCATGACTACAGAAATTTTCATTTGTCAACATCTTGCGATTCAATAGTCTACATTTTATTCTTTAGATTATTGGTTGTTTCATTCATTTTTCTAAGCCTGTAAATGCCAAAAGGACATATGGATAATTCTGTGGGATATAATTACCTTTTCTCTTATAACCAGATATGTTTGTTTCAGAGTAGAAACAAATCTTAATTTCTGATTTGTAACTCATAATTATTATTTGTTCTTAGGAGTAATTAGCTTTTAAAGACTATCATTTGCCAAGACTTTGAAGCGAATCTTCTACTTTCCAGTTACTTTTCTTTTGCAGAAGAAGAGCTTTCAAGAGGATAGTTAGAGATAAATTACCATAACATTTAAAATCTAACTATGGGAGGTGAACACATAGTGTAAATATATATATGCCTTACTGTTAAAACATACAGCTGAAACTTATTAGATTTTGTTAACCAATGTCACCATAAAAATTAATTAATCAATTTAAAAAATTAAAAACAAGTTATAAAATTGTGCGCGTGTGTGTGTGTGTGTGTGTGTGTGTGTATATATATAAAACATGTCCTTATTCTTATAAAAAGTAAAATAAGGGATAAATATGAACGGATATATATTCTCAAGTTAATGTAGTTATCTCCGGGTAGTGAGAGTGGAAGTAACTTTATTCTCTCTTGTTTTTTTTTGTATTTTTCTAAATTTCAAAAATTCCACAGAGAACAACATATCCTTTCTAATATAAAAAACAAATAAATATTATTTTATTTCTTAAAAAATATTCCAATAAAAATTTTTTTCCAAAGGAATTTAAACATTTCTTTTAGTAAAAACAATTTAACAATTCATGTATTTAGCCTTAAATAATGTTATATTACGTTGTTGAATTTTTTTTTTATATGTATACATGTCACCAAACTTTATTTTTAGGATCCTTAAGGACAAACTTTTGTTGTTATTAAATAACAAATGGTATTAGACATGATGTGACCACTTTATGCTCAATACATATTTGCCCAGTTAGGTAGTTAGTTGAGCTTTTAACTAATCTTTTGAGTGATAAAAATCTTACATTTGTATATTACAAAAGGAAAACTAATTACAAAGTACAAATCTGTAATTAATTTTGGAGTTATTGTAATAGTTATGAAAATATGTAACAGCAAAGTTTGATTTCTTCCTGTTCTTTCACTGTACAATTTATAAAAAGTAAATGTAATATTTATAAATTTAATAAAAACAGATTCAAATATTTGACTTTTTTTTCCCACAAAACATATATAGATTTCAGGAGAAAGCATTTGGCAGTTGAATGTGTATTAATATTGAAATGAAAAAGTGTCAATCAGTAAAAAAAAGTATCGATAAAAAAAGGTCAATCAAACTTTGGAATCAGAAAAACTTGAATTTATGACTTTGTTTCTTAGGAAGTTAAAAACTTGCTATATAAATTACTTTAATAAATTACTTAAAAGTCTTTTAGCATCATTCATGCCTCATTCTTTTAAGATAATTTAGTGAAATGAGAGGTGTAATAATTGGCAAAATATACTATGGGGTTCAAAAAAGATTTGTTCCCTTCTTTCAATAGTTTAAAAAATATATAATAGCTCATTTAATGTTAAATAAGATTATTTATAAGAATACTATTGCACTTGGAACAGTAAAATATTATCGAATATATTTACTTCATTAAATGTCATAGAGGAAATTCTCAATAGCTCGGAATAAATAGTACAGGAAAAAATGGTTACTTAAATAGCTTAATTTGAAACAAGGAACAATATATTATAGGAGATGGTATAAAAATGGTTTGTATGTTTTTCTTTAGAAATAAAACTAAAAATTTTAAAGGAAAATTAATATTTTATTAACATTTATTTACACTGAAATGTTAACCAAAATCACGGATGTGGAGATGTTTTACATAATTTTAAGATAAAATGTATTAAAATAGCATATTTTATTTAATAGCATATTAATTCATATTAGACTACTAACATGATCATAAAGATTGCCTTTTTGAAAAAGAATATTGAAGGGTTTTATCAATTTTTTGAAATGTCTAACTTAGTTTTTGGTATGCAAATCTTTTTATAGAATTCATCATCTTTTTAAAAAAATTTTAGCTTGTCTCACTCTGTCAGATAAATATTCATTGTCAATGGTTTTAAGTGTAAACATATCAGTTCTTTAACATTTTCTTTGCCTTTATGGACCTTGATTTTTAAAAGTTTAAATTCAAAATTTGTATTTTGTGTTTGCAATGTACTCATCATATTTTCCATTGCCATGACAGCAGGGTAAATTTGTTAGTACAAAGTGATATGTGTTGTATTAAGATTCTCCAGAGAAACAGAATCAATAAGTTATATATCTAGTTATCTACCATCTATCTACATATTTATTTATGAATGTATGTATGGATGTGTATATGTATGTATGTATGTATGTATGTATGTATCTATCATCTATCTATTCTATCTATCATCTATCTATCTATCTATCTATCTATCTATCTATCTATCTATTTATCTATCTACCTACCTATCTATCTATCATACATCTATTTATCATCTATAATCTATCCGTATCTATGGAGATTTTTTTGGTAAGAATTGGCTCATGCAGTATAGCAGAGACTGAAAAGTCACACAATCTATCTTGAAGGTGAACAAGGAAAGCTAGCAGTATAATTAAGCCTCTGTCCTAAGGCCTGAGAACCAGGCCTCATCTCAGTCCCGATCCCAGTCTGCAGGCCAGGAAACCGGGAATGCTGGGTGTCTGAGGCAGGAGGAGATGAATGTCCTAGCCCAAGCTGAGAGAGAGAGCCAAGTCACCCATCTTCTGCCTTTTTTGTTCTATTCGGTCCCTCAACAGGTTAGATGAAACCCACTCAGCTTGGGGAGGGCCACTTGACTTACTTGGGTCACAGATTGAAATGCTACTCTTTTCTAAAAACACTCACAGACACACCCAGAAGTAATATTTTACCAGCTCTCTGGCCGTCTT